CCCCAAAACCCCAAAACCCCAAAACCCCAAAACCCCAAAACCCCTATTTACCAACTAAAAATAGAATATTTGGTAAATAGCCCCTCCTTGATCCCAACTTACAGACTCTATTTCATACTTTAGTCTCTCCCTCTAACTACTTCTTGGATAGTACCTTGGACCTTGTGATAAGCACAATTTGTTCCTAAAATTATTTTCAAAATAAAAACTATTAAGCCTTCTTTTCTTCCTCGTCCTTACTACCAGTCTTTGAATCATCAAATGATGCTTGGATCTTGGGAGATTGCACATCCTTATCAGTGAGAAGGTGATAATTTTCCTCTTTGCTCTCACTCTCTTTGTTCTGGAAGTAGAAGGATTCATCCTCTCCATCAGACTCCATCTTTATAGGAACAGTCTTGTATTTATCAACCACTTGGGAGAGTGAAGTTAAGGATTCAGCTGCTTCATTTGAGTCTTCTATAGTAATATGCTCATCTTTGTCTTCATTTTGAGAGTTAACGCTCTCAATACTTGAGTACATATCAATAGAGAGTGCTACTAAGATGTTAAGGACTACCAAAACACTGAAGAAGTAGAATATTACGAAAAACAGCCTAGTCCAGATTGTTCCAGTTACTGCTTCAAACATATCAACTATGACAAACCAATTGTTCACAACCATCAGAGTGAATAGGGTCACAAAGGAATTAGCTACGTCATTAAAGTTCATTTCTACGTATGTATCTGGTATATTCTGGTTTCGGACCACATTAGGATTGTTGATTTCCAATCCACCAAAAGCTCTATCTCCAATCGACGCAAATAGCAGGAAGAGCACAAAAGTGACTAGTAATAAGCTCCAGAAAGGCTTCAGCAGTGCAGAGATAGTTCTCATAATGACCTTCCATTGCTTGATTTCGTTGAATAGCTTCATTAATCTGAAACCTCTCAGGATGATTATTATATCAAGATATCTCAAAAGTATCTCTCTGTTGTCTGAAACCAGGTAATATATAAAAGCACTGAGGATGATGATCTGGAAAAGTATCTCAATTTTGAGATGGTTCCTTCTTTTAAAAGCTTCTATGATTCCGAACCCATAGCAGATGAAAATCATCTCTGCAAAGAAGAGCCAGGTTATTATAAGCTGAATTATGAGCCATGCAAGTACGTTAGTACCGCTTTGAGTAAACATCTCGACCATATCTTTGATCATAATAGTGCCAATATTGAGAGCAACAAATATGTTCATACCTAGATCATAAAATGGATGCGTAACAATATTTTTAACCTTCCTTCTTTTGTTGCTTATCTGAACTACCATTGATCCAGAGGTGTGATTATCTAAAGACACAAAATCCATAATTTCAAAATAATTGAGGAAATCCTCTAATGTTATCTGACCTCTTCAGCGGTGACTAAACTGGGCTGCAATCTTGTTGAGGTTCGTCTTTTTGACAGCTTTTAAGTTTAGCTCAAACAGATCTTTAATCATTGACTTAAATTCATTCTGTGTAAGATGCCCCTTGTTATCCACATCATGAGAATGAAACTTTGTTTTCAGAAATTGTTCCCTAATGGACATAAATTTAGAAATGGTGTTGTCAACTCTAGTCCGGTAATTATTGTAATATACTGCTAAGACTAGATTCAGTAAGAAGAATAATACCATCACGAGATATATTATAAAGAACAGAGCATATCCTCTATGAGCATTGTATGCGAGCATCATAACATCTGGGAAATTTGCTGTTGTAAGTAAGACCATCATACTCCAAATGCTCTCAACAAGGGAGGAGAAATAAGCTTCTCCCTGCTGTGTCCCTCTGAATAATCTGTACCCCACCCAACCAAAGAGCACAATATACGAAATAATCATGAGGAGGATCTCTTTAGAGTCATAAATCACAAGTGCGATTCTTTTGATTGCTTCCCTTAATCCCCGAATGAAGAGGACTATCAGTAAGATTCTTATGAAATGGCTGACATAAAGCGAATTCTGCCTAATCAAAGCAATCATGATATCAATCACAGAAGCTAGAGTCAGAACCGATTGTATCAGCTCTCTTGTTTTTGCCAATCTGGTCGGCTTCCTGAAAGCTCTTCTAAAATATGTGAAAAACAAGAGTGTAAAGAGTCATACTAACTCAATCGACCTCGAGGCATAATAAGGAAGTTTAGGAATTCCTGAATTAGGGTATATATCTGGATCTCAGGTTCTTCTGTCCTGTATACCCTTCTTAACCAGGCACCAGGAGGGGACTTCAAAGAAGACCATGAACATGTATATATACAGCGTAATATACTTCAGGTAATAAACCTTGTAGTAAAATGTCTGGAACTTATTTAGATCTCTCGCCTGTAGCCGTTCTTTGTTCTTTCCGGATGGCTTTATCCAGTGCCATTACCATGTTCTGGGCAAGGACGTCATCGTACTTGTTAGTGATGAAGGTCTTGTCCCGGCTGTTGTCCCTACTTGTGTTGATGAATTTTGATGTGTAGGAAGAACTGTTCTCCATAATTTCTATTATTAATAAATTTAAGGGGTTTTGGGGTTTTGGGGTTTTGGGGTTTTGGGG